CCACATTCACACGAGATCATTCATACATACCTTTCACATTTTTCACATTTTTTTTTCACATTTTTTTTCTCACTTTTTACTTTTTTTCTCACTTTTTACTTTTTTTTTTTTTTTTACTTTTTTAATTTTTATTGTACAAATATTTTTTTATAATGGCTCCATTTTTGCCAGCAGATGTTTTATGTCAAATATTTCAAAATTTATCAGATCAAAAATCTTTATATTCTTGTCTATTAGTAAATCGTTTATGGTGTGCAACTTCGGTAGAATACCTTTGGTCAAAACCTTTTCGTTTCATATACACCTGCAATATCATATCTTGTAATTGTCATAAAGAATCAAGAATCTCCCGAAGTTCTAAATTAATTGAAATTTATCTAAGTTGTTTAACTGAAAAAGAAAAAATTTTTTTAATGGAAAATGGTATTAAATTACCTTTTGAATCTCCTTTATTTGATTACGCGGCTTTCATTCGTTATTTGGATTTGGATGAATTTTATACCGCTATAAGAGATTGGTTGGAATCAAATATAATTTTCATGGCTGGTCTTATGGATTATGATTCAAAACAATTCTTGGATTTTGGAATTTCTCAAAAAAAACAAAAAAAATTTAAATTTTCTAAAGTTGTTCGTTACTTAAAATCTTTTGGTTCTAATAGAAGAAAAATTGATGATAAAAGTGATTCTGATAGTACTAGTATTGATACTACTATAACTACTACTTCTTCTATATTATCTAATTCTATATTATCTACTTCTATATTATCTACTCCTGTTACTCCTACTTCTCCTACTTCTTCCTCTTCTCCTTCAACTCCTATCTCTTTATCTTTACACCCTCGTGAACGTATTGTCACTGAACTTTTATGTCGTTTATTAATGAGAAGAAGTTCTACTCTAAAACAATTATCTATCGATAGAACTTATTCTACTCGTGATCTCAATGAATTTAGGTGTGCTTCTTTACCTCCTTTAATGGATCGTTTTCAAAACACTCGTCCAGTTCCTGATCAATATATCTTACTCCCCGCTTATCCTGGTGCTATTTCTTGTTTATCTTCTTTAAGTGAATTAATATGTACAACTCGTCAATCAAAAAGAAAATTATTTGATTTATTATCTGAAATTTCTATTAGAATTAATAAAATTTCTGTAATGATGGATTATTCTTCAACTAATTGGCACGGTACAAGGTCGAGAAAAGATGATTCTGATCTTGAAGATGAAGCTAAAAGTTTGGCTACTCTTATTCGTGTTCAACAATCTTTACAACATTTTGAAATTTATTGTTGTGAAAATGGATCAAGTATCATCATGATGGCTTTAAAATCTCAATCTAATACTTTAAAATCTTTATGTTTTAATGATGTTAGATTTTGGGGGTGGGATCCTTTGGATTTTATCTCGGAATGTCAAAATTTAAAAACATTAATTTTTAAATCTTGTACTGGTTTAACTAATGAATTACTTGAATCTTTAATTCATTCGGAATATCCTCAACTTTCAACAATCGAGATGGAAAATACTTCTGCTCCTGTTCATATCCTTGAATCTTTAATCAAACTTGGAAATTTCAAAATTCTTAATTTGAATCTTGGTCAATATAAGACTACTTTAAATAATCCTTCAAATATTATTCAAACGGTGGCAAATCATTGTCCAAATCTTATTACCTTCAAGTCTTTTATCGAATCTGAAGAAATTCCTCATTTGGTTTCATTATTTACTCTTTGTACAAATCTTCAATCGGTAACAATTAATGGTCCTCGATCTCCTGAAATTGATGTAAATCATTTATTTCTTGAACTTTCTTCTCAAGAACTTACAAATTTACGAGATTTAGCTATATTGGGTTCTTGGTCTTTTCGTTCTTATTCATTGGATCAATTTTTATCTGGATCAAAACCTCCTTTGAAATCTTTGAAAATACAAAATTCAAAGTGTTTTACTGATTCCCATCTTGAAGTTATATTAAGAAATTTATGTTCAAATGTTTCTTCAAATTCGGGTACTTTAAAAGATTTAAGATTACATGTCACTTCTCATTTAAATGAAGAATTGGTTGATAAGGCCAAAGAATACGTTAAAGAAGATGGTTTTGTCCAAGTTGATTATTGGGAATCTGTTATTAGGGTAAGAATTAGTAGATTATCTACTAATAAATTTTATAAAAAGATTGGTTGGCATAGTAGTAATAGTATTAGTAACAGTAAATATCGAGTATCATGTGATACATAATATATATACTGATACATGTGAAATATATATTAAAAAAAAAAAAATTTTTGGAATTATATTTAATCATGATATTTTCGTTATTATATTAAATAATATATTAAATTGATATAAATTAATAATCTTAGTTTTAATATAATAATTCCCAGTATATACTTATCAGTAATTTAGTAATTTTACGTATTCAAAACTTATTCAAAAATTAATCTTTTTTTCTTTTTTAATTCCCGTACATAGGAAATTTCCGTTTCATCACGAAAAGTGAGAAAAATTCCACAACTTTTTTTTAATAGTATTATTAATATTTGAACGGGAGATGATTTAATCATTGCTTTGGGATTGGTTTTTTTTTTTGGGAGGGATCCCCTGATTATCAAATCAAAATTAATTTAGCAAAAAAAACGATGGACAATTATTGAAAAAAATTATTTTTATTTGTTCTATATACTAATTAATTAATTAATGATTATAATGATTAATCAATTGTTACCCCATTTACTATTACTTATTTTCTAATTTTATTTACTTAACACTTTGAATACGTAATCATTTAATTTGTAAGAAAAAAAAAAAACACGTATTTTCTAATATATATATAAAAAAAAAAACATTTTTGGGGAAAATTTTTCAAGGGATGTATCACATGAAAATTATTGTAATATACTACTGTTACCTTATCACTATTAATATTGATGCTGTCTAAGAATTTCAATTTATCGTTAACTGATTTTTAAATTTATTTAATGTTATGTTAGCGTTCTCATCGTTCTCATTTGCGTTGTGTATGCCATTGTCCTTTCTAAATTTTTGTGTAATATAAAAAGGGCTGACTTGCTAATTTAGAAAAATCAGCATATTTTATATAAAAAATAGCTAAACCCGTACATAAGTTTTAAAAATACTATATATATATATACGCACGTTTATACAGTATATTTTTAATTTTATATTGAAGTTATTATATATAAAAATAATTTGCTTTTATACGTATGTACGTATATTTTTTAATGCTTTAAATAAAATATAATTATTTTTATTTATTATAAAAAATACTTTATATTACTACTGTATATAGTGGTATTTATTTTAAAACCAAACCAAAAGTTAAATATAATAGTCCAAATTTTAGCTTATACAAAATTTATTAAAATTTTAAATATATTTTATTTATTTACTGAGTATATTTAATTTTTGTTTTTTTAAAAAAACATTTATTTTTAAAAATATTATATAATAATAATAATAATAATTATCAATACTGTAATAAGATTTTAAATATATATATTTTTACTGTAGTAGTATTGCTAGTATTTTTTTATTAAAATTTTTTTTAATTCAGCTATATTCTGCCTCTGTTTATTTGAGATTAAACTAATATAGAATTACAAGTAATTTTAACTATAGTATTCTTAATTTAACTAAACAAAAGATTCATTCAGAGTAACTACTTCTTAGATGCAATTTGTTTCAATAGTTATTGGTCTCTTTTTAGATCTAAAACATACTAAGAACTTTTTTCCTATTGGTTACAAGCTAGTGGCTATATACTTTACTAAAATTGGCTTTCCTTTTTATATTATAATGTAACAAGTTAGACCTTTTGTTAACTAGCTACAATACTTTACTAAGTGTACGAGTAGTTAAGAAATGTGTT